ATGAGAGGATAGATCATTTTACCTTTTTAGCATCTAGTATACGGCTTCTCTGAAATACACAAGTGCTTATTACTTAAAATGGTCTGGAAATTTTGCCTAGAATTCATTAACTTAATCAGTTAACCAGTTATTGAAAGGTAGAGTACGCACCTAGCACTGTGCCATCATTGAGATATTATGGCAGAGAGTGTTCCTTGGTACATTTCATTGTGATTATTTTTTTCTTTTTTTTAACATAATCAGATCTATAGACAGTTGTTAGCTTGTACAGCTATCTAACATGGTTGAGCTTGCATCTATATGGAGCAAGGTACAGATAGTCCTTGCTGTGCACGGTTCTGATATGCATGAGAGCTGCATGACTTATTTAAGATATACTGTGCATACTGCCTGTTCAGTGGAAAGATCCTCGACTTTGAAGACATGCATGTCTGGATTTATCCCAACTTTGGCACTTACCTTTTTAGGCAAGATATTCAGCTTCCAAATTCAACTTTCTCACCTCTTAAAATACAGATAATAGTAACACCTACTTCACAAGGTAATTTTAAATATTAAAATTTAATTTCTGTTTCCAAGGCTGAAAGTTTTAGTTTCTATTTCCATGGCTGAAAATGTAGTCATTTTTGGGAAGTGTTACTTTGTACTGAGATTTAAAACCAGTCAAAGGATATAGTACTACTTGTATTATTTTAACCAAATCATGCAGTGAGTAAAGAGTTATTGTAACCGATTATATATTTTTTTAAAAATTGATTTAAAAGAGACAAGTAGGCAGACACTGATTTGTTGTTCCACTTATGTATGCATTTGTTGCTTGATTCTTGTAAGTGCCCTGACCAGGGAGGGGACCCACAACCTTGGTTAACAGGATGACACTCTAACCAACTGAGCTACCCAGCCAGGCCTATATTTTCCAAAGATGGCCACAAACAATCTCTCTTACCCCACATATTCTTCTAGAATTGCTACTCCCCACTGAGAGTTGGAGAGTCCTCTTCCTGTGGGATTTGAGCACACTTGTGACTGGTATCCAGTAGAATGTTGCCGAAGTGATGCTATGTGATTTCTTAAGCTCAATCTTAAAAGACAGTGCTTCTTGCACCTTGTTTGTTTGAACACTGACCTGTTTGGAGCACTGAGAAGTCAGAGACCCTGAAGCTGCCATACACTGAGGAAACCACGCCATGTGGAGAGGCCTAAGATCTCGGGTGGTCAGTCCTAGACTTCAAGTACGTCCCCGCCGGTCACCAGACATGTGAGTGAATGAACTGTCAGATGATTCAGATAATGCCAGTCTTAGCCATTGAATCACTCCTAGAGACATCCCTAGACTTTGAGATTCTGCTTTCAAGGCTCCCAATCCTGCTGGAGCACTGGTGAACCATCCTTAATGTGCCCTTTGTGAATTCCTGGTTCAGAGAATCTGTGAGCACCATAAAATGGCTTTTGTTTTATATCAGTAAGTTTGGGATGGCTTGTCATGTAACAATAATAATTGGAATAGATCTAAAACCTGAAAGATACATTGTGTCACTAAGAAACAGATTACTATTAAAACTCATCAAAGTGGAAACTATCTGCTAAATAAATGTTTACTGAGTTTTTTCTTTTTTTCATTTTAAATGAAGATAGCCAAACAGCTCTCTGAAAATGAGAAATTCATTCCCTTATTCAGTATATCAAACAAATGTTTACTGGGTACCTCTTATGTGCCAATTGATGGGTATAGTGAAAAGACTATATAGACTATACAGTGTACATCTGAGGGGGATACGTTCTAAGACCCCCCAGTGGATACCTGAAACTGAGGATAATACTGAACCCTATTTATATATACATATCTATGCTAAAGTTTAATTTAAAAATTAGGCACACACAATAACAATAAAATAGAATTATAACAATATGCTCTAATGTACATTATACTTTATTTCAGAAAAATCAACTTTCTCTCCATTTAATAAGATTACACAGGTATATCTGAGACATGATGCCCTATATCTTCTTTTTAGTTTATAGGTGAGATACTTAGTTTTATTTCCTTTAGGAAAAAAATCAATTTCTCAAACTAGCTAACCTCTCTTAAGGAAATAAATATTAACTAGGTTATGAATGATATCCTGGGATTTTTTAAATAATGTGTAGATTTATGTTTAATAACTTAGTCACTGGTTATACTAGGCATCACTAGAGCATGTTAGTGTTACCTGATGTGCATTTTTAAGACTGCTATTTTCTGGGTTGACATGGAAAATAAATTATTTTATAACAGAGGATTCCATTATATTTTTAGATGAGCTAGCAGTGCACAAAAGTCTGATAGAATGTATACTTTATTTTGCAGTTAGAAAATGCCTAAAATTCTAATATGAGGACAATAATCCGGGTTGGGGGGTGGTCCTCGGTATCCTATGAGGATGTCCATAAGGTTGAAATTTTTGCGTAATACCATCAAGACATCATTTATCTTTTCATTGTGTTGACATTTCACTAATAATGGTGATAAAGTAGTTGTGAGTAAAAAACTGCCAATGCTTTAGTCTGTGTAAATCAGGGTTGTAGTAGCACCAAACTGTACCAGTAGTTATGGTATTCTTTACCATCATACTCTTGAAGTAATTAATACCAGTTTCATTTAAGAATGCCCATAACAAAGCAGGAAAAAAGCCTTTTAAAAAATCTCAGCCTTGCCCAGATCAGAATGGCTTAGTAGTTTGGGCATCATCCTACAAAGCAAAGGGTCACCTGTTTGATTCCTGGTCAGGGCACATGACCCTGGGTTGTGGGTTTGTCCCCGGTAAGGCAGATACGAAAGACAACCAATTGATAGTTCTCACATCGATGTTTCTCACCCTTTCTTTTACCCTTTCTTCCTCTCTCTCTGAAAATAAATAAAATCTTTTTAAAAAACCCTCAACTTTTGTGTACACATTAAAAATATTCTATTTGATAAAATAAGTACATTTATAGCACTTTCATTACATTGCAAAGTCTGGTGGTTATTTTGAAGAAAAACCCTTGTACTTGAGTTGTGAACTGACCAAAGTAATTTTTTTTTCATGAAATAACACTTTTTACTTGAAAGAACTGACAAACTGATTTTTCATATTTGGCAGACATTTTCTCATAAGTGGATGAGGTTAATTTGCCATTTAAGGAAAACAACTGACTGTATTTGTTGCCAGTGATAAAGATGGAGTTTTTAAGGAAAAATTAGAGATATGGAAAACTTATATTACCTTAAGCTTGACAGGTTCCCAGTACTGAAGGAGTCTTTTAATGAGATTGGTGATTTAACAAATGTGGTATTTTAAAATAATTCAATGATGTGTCAATACTTGGAAGGTATGCATAACTCTGACCTAATTTTCTTAATAACCAAATGTATTGATGATAAGTATCTTCCATGCATAAAAGTTTTAAAGTGCAGGAGACCAATGGATCTTAATGTAAGAATTGGAAAGTTTCATTAATATTGTTTCAAATTCCACATGAGAACTAACCTTTAAAAAACTACCACCTGTTATATTTTGGTGTGGTATCAAAGAATATCCATGATTGCCTGAAAAGGCCATTAGACTACATTAGCTATGTACATATGCAGTGAGACTGAATTTTCTTCATCTATTCAACTAAAACAAGTCACAAAAGATTGAGTATAGAAGCAGATATGAGAGAGAATCTATTGTCTTCTGTTAAGGCAAACGTTTCAGTGATTTGTAGAAAAAATATCACCCTTTTCAAGGTGGTATATAAATACAATAGAATATTACTCAGCCATAAGAAAAGATGAAATACTACCATTTGCAACAACATGAATGGATCTTGAGAATATCATGCTAAGTGAAATAAGTAGACGGGAAAAGTCAATAACCATATGATTCCACTAATGTGTTGGATATAAAACTGAAAGCAACAAATGAACAAAGAAGACACACAGAAACTTGTAGACACAGATAACAGTATGGTGGTTGCCAGAGGGAAAGAGAAGTTGGGGAGGGAGAAATGGGTAAAGGAGCTCAACTATATGATGACAGAACATGACTTTGTGTGGGGAACACAGTGCAGTATACAGATGAATTATTATAAAATTGTACACTTGAAATCTATATAATTTTATTAGCCAATATCAGCCCAATAAATTTAATAAATTTTTAAAAACATACCATCTTTTTCAGAAAGTTTTGTCTTTCAAATTATTTTTCATTAAAATATTAACAATAGTATTATGATAGATTTAAATTAATTACTAAAATCTTAAAAAGTCTTTTAATTTTTAGTATGTTAAATATCAATAGAAATAATTAATGTAAAACACTACCAGAGATGCTGAATAATTTTTAATAGTGTAAAGAGATTTTGATAATCGATGGCCTAGATGCAGGGGTATCTATCTACATTTTTGGTGTCTCTGGGCCACACATTAAATACGTTGCGACACATAATCACAAAGAAATATTGTAATGTTTTAAGTAAATTTATGATTTTGTGTTGGGCCACACGTGGGTTGGACACCCCTGTTGGAGTCCAAAAATAAGTTACATTATTTTGAAACATTCCTAAAACTCATCTTTTTTTTATGTCTTAAAATACAGCAGAGGAAGCATAGAATGAAACAAAATATTTGCAAAGCTGTATAATATTTTCTGTGGAACTAAGGTTTTTTTGTTTTTGTGTTGTTTTTTTTGTTTTTTTGTTTAACTGTGGCTTGTTTCCTGAACAAGCTAATAAGGTATAAGAATGCTGAAAAAAGATGTATAACAATCTGTGGAATATTCCTGGTATTTTACATAATACAGAATGAATATTTTTTTTATTTGACTTAGATGGGTAAAATTTTACTTTAAAAGGCTGTAATAGTACAGTCTGTTGCCATTTGGAAGGTATGTGGATGTCAATTTACTGTAATGAGAGCCCATTGTTTATTAGTGGTAACTGTTACGTAGCATGTGATGGCCATATGGTTAGTTGGATTTCTGATTTTTTTTTTCTATAAGCAGATAATCTCAGTGATACCTTGAAGAAGCTGAAGATAACAGCTGTTGACAGAACTGAGGATAGTTTAGAAGGATGCTTGGATTGTCTGCTTCAAGCCCTGGCTCAAAATAGTAAGTTTCATTACGTTTACTCAAATGGCAAACAAAAAGATCAACAGTCATTGGTATGTAGTTTATCATATAGCTTGTACTCACATAACTTGAATTCTTTTGAGTCCTATCTCTAAATATTGAGATTGTTTTACATATTCCATCCTCCTACCCACATCACCACCCCCAGGATACTAAAAGCCAAGCTGATAGTCAAAAGAAAGAGGAATTGATTGGTGGTGGTGATGACAACATTCATGGCATTCTCAGAAGCCATTATTTTATTCATAACAGATAAGCACCATAGTTGTTTTTCTTAACACACTTGTTCTTTAAAAAAAAAAAGACTTTATATGTGGGGAGACTACGGAGGAGAAACAGAGAGAACCTAAAAGACCTATTTCTTTTATCCTGAGATCTTATGGCCATGTTTTTAGTAATTTTACTTTAAAAAATATGTAGGCTTAGATTTAATTGAAAAGAACCATTAGTGGTCATCCCAAAGACCCTAAAAATTGAGGTAATACTTGATCTTTGGTGATACAGTAAATAATGTTACTGATAAAATTTAGACAGCTTGTCATTGACAAACACATCATATTGTTGCATTTGAATATTTCTATACATTAATTTTTGTATTCCCACAGTGAAGAGAGAGGTACAGAATTAATTTCATTTTGCTTTGTTGTGCTATGGTTTGCACTGTACTTGTTTGTTATTATGCCCTTGTCTTATCCTGGGATTAATTATGTAGCTGACAAAGAATTTAGGAGAGACTATATATTGTTAAAAGTTTCAGTTTCAAGCTCTCAGAGATGTATGTGCTATTTCTTTGTATTTCATTTTTTTAGTAAACTGATTGGAAGATCTAAAATAATTGATTTTAGTACTCTTCATCAAAAAGCATATTTTAAATCTAGCTTCCAAAGTTCTTTTTTAACAATTCTTTTTCTTTTGATCTTAGACATAACGGAGAAGTCATTTAACGCAAGGACTTTAATAAGAGCATCTGGATAAGGCTCACAATGTTAAAGGAAAAGAGATACATGTAGTAAATACATGTGGCTATTCATATCTAATAATTAAATTAAAAATTAAATTCCTTAGTCTTATTTTTCAATAGTCCTGGGCATCGCAAATATAAATCGTTTCCATTATCACAGAAAGTTCTTTTGGATAATGCTGGTCTAGAGGACTAGAAAAACCACATGATGACCTGATTTTCACACAAGCCTATGTAAGCAGATTTACATAATCTTGTTATTAGTTTAAGGAAATTATTTCAAGTTCATTTTTTTGAAGAGATCTTTTATCATAACCTTTTGTTTTCAGTGACCAGTTTATTCTCTCTGTTAGAAAAAAGTAGAATTATTTAAATGAATTGTTTCCTCTGGAACTGAAGGACATTGACACGATGTCATTTGTTCTGTGTGGAGGGTTGCTCAGTCTTTTTGGAAAGACTAGTAAAGAGAAATAAAGAAAAATAAAAAAATTAAATAATAAAAAAATGAAAAGTTTATAATTTTTTAAAGAACCAATTCAAGAAATATTGATAATTATATAATTGTTGGATTAAATTTCAGACCCATTACAGGCTTATTCATGGAATCCATTTATTGAAAGTGGTCTTGACTTTGTATGTCATCAAATATTAAAGCCAAATAACCACAAGGTGTTAATAAAAAAAACGACAGTAAACTCTATCGTTAAAACTATTTGACTCCTCAGGAAGGAAACAAAAGAAATAAGCCTTTTTTAAAATCTGTATCAAAATTTCTGTTCTCACATCTAAGATATTGACACAAAATAATTTTTATTTTTTTGCTTTACCTCTAAAACAGCTTATTGATGTCTAGCATCTAAATGGATACAATCAAAATAATGAACAGATTTTTTACTCCTCAATTTTCCTTTTGTACCTTCATAGTCCCTTCCCTAACCTCCTTTCAGGCAACCACTGATCTGCAATCACTACACATTAGTTTGCATTTCCTAGATTTTTATATAAATGGAATCATGCCCATATGATTCCTTTTTATTTGGCCTCTTTCACGCAGCATATTTTGAACACAAAAGAATTTGACATAGGAAAAGGGAGTTCATGCAGATGTCTATTTGACTTAAAGATTGATATCTATCATTGATTGAGCACCTACTGTGTACTCAGCACTGGACTTGGCATTACATCTTTCCTGTAGCTCTTGAGGAGGCACTATTATGACCGTTTAAAAGATACGGAAACAGACCCTGTGATGTTACTTGCTTTGTTATGGCAGAATCAGAGTTTGGATTGAAACTCTTAGTTTACAAAATAAAAAATTACATTCTGAGTAAAGTGCAGCTTTTTGCTGAGTTGACAGGCTGTGAAATTGTTTGCATAAGCTAGGTTTTAATATTATGCCTTAAATACATTTTTTAAACTAATTTCAAATTGTTACTAAAGAGAAAGGGTGATATATAAATCTTTTTTTCACTTGAGCTGTAGACTGTTATTTTTTACAGGTATTTATTGTTATATTTTATAAAATTAACATCTGGTTTTTAATAAGGAAAAGTAGAAATACCAGTAAGCAGTAAGGTGTTTATTTTCTACAGTTATTCCTACTTCCCTGAATAAAGTGATTGTCCTATTGCTACTGTCCTCTTAAAGGTAAAATTATAAAACATCTAACTTAAGTGAATCTGTACTGTTTCATATATATAAGTTTAAATCTGACACACATACACATATTTAAAATAGAGACCTTCTAGTTTCATAGTTCTTCTTAATGTCAGGTGTTTTAACTAAAAATATCACTGTTTGCACCAGCATTGCACCTGATCGAGAAAGAATGATTTCTCCCTTTTGTCCAAATACGAGATGATAATGTGTGTAATGGGAATCTAAAATTGTTTCTTTTTATAATCTGCTAACCTGTCATTGGAAAGGACAGTTTTGAAAGGAAAGGAATTAATGCTTTTAAAATTCACATTGTGGGAATTTAGTATATTTGAATTTTATGTTACAAATTACTGTACACTAAAATTAAAACTTTGATGTATGACTTCAGAATGATTTTCATTTTTGGTTTTAGTAACATTAAATACAGTATATGTGTCAGAATCTTAAGAGATAAGAGTTAAGAATATTAGAATGCTTACTAGATTTTATAGAAGACATTTTGTATAAATCTCTGATTTAAATTAATGTAGAAGTATTCGTTTTCTTTATATAAATACCTCAGATCTCAGTTTTAAAATGTTTTTAGTAAATATATGAAGGCTACCAGCCAAGAAATCAGGTTCTATTTATTCTTGTCTCTTTTGAGTCAGAGACTAGTTAGAAGATTCTCAGTAAATGATTGCTTAATTGTAGTGTGGTTCCTTTATTTCATACTTATTTGAAAATTAAAACAATATGCCACCCATTTTCATCTCTAAACATTAAGACAGGAATTGTCTTTGGAGAGTTTGACATCTTAATCACCTTGCAAGACAAACAATCATAAATCAAAGGCCCAAAGACAAGAAAAATCAGCAGTCCATTCATTATAAAAATTCCATTCCATGTTTCCTTTGCACGGTAATTCATTATGTTATTCACTTCCTTCACATATTTTTGTATCATGTGGCTCTTTTAGTTATTGTATTTATTGCCTATGAGGGCTTATGGCTGCTGCTAAACATAAATTATCAAAGAATCAGTTTTTCCTAAATAAATACAGGGGTGGGCAAATGTAGGTTTACAGTTTGTATGGAAAAAGACATGCAGGTTATAGTTTTATTAACTCTATGTTTCACATACTCACAACTGTAAACCTACGTTTGCCCCCCTTGTATAGTATTTGAAGAACAGAGGAGACTAAATTAGAGAAAATGGTCAACTAAAAAGACATAGGCAATTCTTGATGAACTGACACTCCTGGATTGGCATTTTTCTATAATGATGACAGCAACCTAAATCTGAATTTTTCCACACATTCTCTAAAAATTCATACAGATCAACAAAGAGATTAAATAAAACCAACTAACCATAACCTATTCCTCAAGCATAACTTGGAGACAATTAATAACTACAGGGAGAGAGATGAATAAACAAATACAGCCTCCTCGGCTTCAGAGCCCATTTTGAGAGTGTTCAGTGAAGACTGCAGAGACTAACATGGAAAAGGTAAAAGGGGAATGGGTTGAACCATGAGCCTAGGGGTGATATAGTACACAATCAAAATTGCATTTGAAAAGTCCTACTTTCATGGGAAAATACTAAGAACTGGTCTTAGATTCTATTAGAGCACTGAGTGTTGGGAAATAAAAAGGAGGACATGTATAAAGAACACAGGACCCTAGGCAAGCAGATCAAGACAGTGCCACTTTTGTGAATAAAATTGCTCACCCTTATAGACTTGGCAGTGAAAGGAAAGAAGGAAGCAAAATGGGGAAATGCACTGTTCTGTAGAAATAAGAAAATCATAAAATAACTCCCTTTGGTTTAAGTTCAAAAGAGGGAATTTTTGGACTAAGAAACCTAGATATTCTTCCCAAATCTTTACTTTTACTGCGTACATGTTTTATTACTAGTTAAGAAAAATAAAGACTGCACTGAATAGGAAATTGTGGATGATATACATACAAAGGTGCTACAAGAAACAATGTAGAAAATAAGAATCAAAACATTTTAGCTATTAAAATTTTTCTCTTAAACCAACCATGAAGCAGTTATCAGTAACAGAACACTATGACCTATATTAAACATCCTTAAGCCTTTGCAGATACGGAAAAAAGAAGCCCTCGAGTAAGAAATTCAGAAACTTGGAACTCAAGTAGATAAATACCAGGAATATGTGAACAAAGATTTGACCAAAAGAAATTGAAGAAAAAGACAGTACTGTTTTAGAAATTAGGACTAAATTACAAGGTATCAAGGAAAAATAGAGGTGACCGAAAATTTAATATGTAACATTGAAGAAAGTGGGCAAAAGAATGAAGACAAAATAAAGGATCAGTGAGCAAATGGGTGGTATAGATGGTAGGCAAAAAGGTCC